TTTTCTCGTAAATAAATGACCATTAGATTCCAAATCAACACAATGAATAAATTTAAACGTATCATTAAAAAAAAAACAAATTAGACTCTAAAGGAGAGGCGAAAGATACCAAAGGGATATTCAAACTCATCAGTTGAAAACAAACTGACAATTCCATGGCAAAAAAACGGAAAACAATGAAAAGGCAAACAACAGTATACAAAACATAACATAGAAACAAAAGACTGAGCAACACGGACCCCACCAAAAACTGGGGGTGATCTCAGGTGCTACGGAAGGGTAAGCAAATTCTGCTCCACGTATGGCACCCTTCGTGTTACTGATGCAAGTACAAACCCAGTGATAAGTCTAATTCGGTAGGTCACATTCGACCAAAAGAGTACTGGATTGTGGGATATATACCCTGCCACGTCCTGTCTGTGTTTTTGTTTGATGTTTTTCTTTGTATCTGATGAGTTAAGCCTTTTCAACTGATTTTTATAGTTTGTTCTTATGTTGTCACAGTGCTGTTACACAACTGTCCCAGGTTAGGGGAGGGTTGAGAGCTCACAAACATGTTTAACCCCGCCACATTCTTTATATGCCTGTCCCAAGTCAGGAGCCAGTAGTTCAGTGGTTGTCGTTGGTTCATGTCTTATTTGTTTTTCGTAAATTGTTTTGTTATAAATTAGGCCGTTAGTTTTCTCAATGTAATTGGTTCATATTTTTAATGCCGGGGCCTTTTATAACCGACTATACGGTATGGGTTTTTCTCATTGTTGAAGGCCGTATGGTTGCCAATAATTGCTTACATCCACTTCATTTGAACTTTGGTGGATAGTTGTCTCATTGGCAATCATACCACATCTCCTTATTTTTATATTGCATATGTTTTTAACTTCAAGTGACATTTACATTTATTCTTTCTTTTGTTTTTAATTTTAAAATGTGTTGCATAATTGTTAGTTAAAACATTGAATATCAGTATATCTTATCCAAGCCGCGTTAGATTATTGAATGACATTTATATACAGGTGCTAGATATACATAAAAACATCTTTATAAAACATGTAAGAAATACCAAGTTTGATGCTTACAGTTAATATGGTCGAACACACATATCTAATATAACAAATTATTTAACCAATGACTTAAACTACATTATAAGTTGTCCATTAAAGTTGGAGTCTATGGTGCTAATCTTACTTTTGTAAATCCATTGTATGTTTGAGCCACATAATATTATTTTAATCGGGAAACGGACTAGTCTGTCTGTTAAACATTAATAAAAACTGAATTTTCTATAGAATCTGGTATACTTTAACAGTGCTAGTACTGTCCCTTTAATCACTATTTGACTTTTTAAAGTCATATTGTTATTTATAACATTCACATAACAGTGTTGTATGAATTTCAACTAACAGGTATCCAATGACGACAACAACAAAAAAAAAAAGACAGAAAAAAAAAAAGAATTCCAAACGCCAAGTAAGTAGATGGTTAGTTCAAGAAACCTAAATAACTGTTGTATTATACTTACATTTTACATGTACTGTTAAACAGTACTACAGTAGTACATATAGCTACACAATTTGTCCGAGCTAATAATAATACATGTTTGTCTTAGTACTGAGAGTTTGCTTTGAATAATTTCGAGCGTTTGTTTTTTTTAAAGTTACTGCAACAAAATAGTTTATAATCATCTATATGCAATTTCGTCCTGAATATGCATGACATATTTGCCACTGGACGTTTAGCAACCAACAATCAATCAATCTATATGCAATATATCACATATCATTAACGCGCAAATCTGTGAACACAAGAAGATGGATGGATGGATGGCTGTTAAACGTCCCGTTATAAATTAAAAGCATATTCAGGACGTGAATAGGATAATGTGATATAAGTACTAGATATCGTCCAGGGCAGTAATTAAGAGAGTTTGTACTAAACCGACATGCTGAGTCGGATTCTTTTACGAGCTATTTCACAAGGTTTCAGTCCGCAGGAAGGCGGACAGGCTACCACGAGCCCGATGAGACGGAACTTGACCAGTGTGAACTTCTATATAAGAAAACAGAGGATAAGTATAACTTGCTTTTCGCTTGGCACCCGTCGTATGTAGTCAATAGTTTGTAATATTCAGTAAAATTTGATTTAAAGTGTAAAGATGCCCGATTTCTTCTTTTTTTTTATGTTGCTTGCATACGTCTTTTATTCATTTGCTGAAAGTTAATATAATGAAAAATGTCTTAACTCGTGATGGTGACCATAAAATTTTTAAGAATTGCTTAAGCAGAGATACTCTGTTGGTATCAGTTTTTTTAAAAGTCAATTAAGCCACATATTTACCGAAACAAAAGCATTCATTGTTGTATTCTATGTATATGTAAGATAATGATAATCCCTTTCTTCGTGATAAAGTACGAGCTTTAACGAGTACTTATCGCGAAGAAAGGGATTATCATTCTCTTACAAACTTATAATATTGTAAAGTGCTCAAGGCTCAAATGATATCTTGATTGGTTATAATTATTCAAGAATTAGTTTCATTCTTAGTGCGATGTTTATAATAAATGCATGACTTCCCTCTTCAGTATTTCATTTATGAATTAGTTTTAGTGATGTAAGGTCTTTCTATAATTTTGGAAAATATAATAAATTGTGTTTTAGACATTAGATAACACAACAGTGCAATGAAATGGTAGGAATTGTATACTAGTATGTTTCCTGATAGTGAGTATGAAATTCAATGTAATTCATGTAATGTTTAAGTGAGGAATTATCGTTTTTGTTTATCTACAGTTCAAATCAATAAAATCAAAATTTAAGTTACGACTAAATTTTAGTTCACAGCCAATATCATAGTCCCGATCTTTACATCAAGTACTATTTCATTATTTCAGGGAAATGTTAAAAATAAAATGCCTTTAAAAAGTTTTAAATATATTCAAAAATTAACATTAATATTGGAAATTACTATTTTTACCAAACGCAAATCCAGTAATCCGAGTTTTGGTAACCGTAATAGCTAAAGATTTATGTTATATTTTATTTCAAAACTTTTATTTTATTTTTTTTTATTTTTTTGCTTTGCTTTGCTCTGGTTTAGTTTATTTTTTTAGTATTTTTTGTTTTAATATTCTGCTTGTTTGAAAATTAAAGTTTTTATTAGTCATTTTCAATCACAAATCCTTTCAAACTGATAAAAGTGATTCGGGGCAGTTGTAACTCATTTATAGAAACAGTTTGTTTTTGAACTGTAAACAGGCCTTAACAGTAGGAGTATCCCTTACTAAGAACATGATTTACATTCATTCTTCACAATTAAGAAACACTAAATTCGTCAATTTCATTGGTCGAGAACACTTTGCTATATTCTATATTCCGGGAGAAAACAATATATCTAATGACAATTATTTACCAAAAGCAAATTGAACATAACTTTTCTTCAGGCAAATATGTTGTTTTATTCAAAATCTAATGCATAAAGAAGAAAAAAAAACTACTAAAACGATACTGAATAATAAAATTCCATAGGGGTAAAAAAGTTATATTGACTACGACCAGCATAATAAAAACCACCACATTATAAATTGATTGTAGATAAAATATAAACAATATATCCAGTTAAAGTGGGTACGTACTGTTTGGCAGCGGAAAAGAACTTACGATATCAACTATATGGAAACAGACGAACGAACGAATGGATATATAGGTGATGGCTCACACTTGCCTTTGGCTGCGTATTAAACAAACATCGTGTAAAGGTGAGCAATACTCATGATACAACATTATGCATGATTCTAAGTTTGTCAGTGAATAAACTAAACAAAATGTCTTGTTTCATTTCAAAAATACAAACTCAGTAGGGTAATTGTTCGAGGAACATGTCACGTTGTAGATACGGTCAGTCGAAACCTTCTGCGTGGTTATGAATTATTAAAAGAGACAATAATATCCCTCTTACCAGTGACTTTAAACAATAATGCAAGCCTCTTGTCCTTTTTGGTTGCAAAACAGTCAATTACTTAATAAATGTCAATGGGCGTCTCCTTGTATGCGTGAAGGATACATAGACCCGAAAGTCGTTCTGTTGTCATCGTAGAACCACAGGCGCTTGGGTATATGATACAGATTTTTTTTTTTTTTTTTTAATAAAATATTCAATTTTCTATATTTATACTACATATCTATCACTACTGCGCATGTCTCACCTTGTTTCGAGTGATTTTACCAACTCTGAGACAAACCCCCATTTTACTATCCACACTAAGAAACCTTAGTGTGGATAGTAAAATGGGGGTTTGTGTGGATAGTAAAATGGGGGTTTGTCTCAGAGTTGGTAAAATCACTCGAAACAAGGTGAGACATGCGCAGTAGTGATAGATATGTAATATAAATATAGAAAATTGAATATTTTATTAAAAAAAAAAAAAAAAAAAAAAATCTGTATCATATACCCAAGCGCCTGTGATCAAAAACACACTAGTTTATTTGGTGGGCATATTGCATATAAAAATCGACTTCGTTTTACATGTAAGTGAAAGTGGGATATTTAACTATGAAAATCGGTTATAAATCTTCATGCTTCCACATAGTTATTACTGTATATATGATCATCAATCTTTTATCAACACTGTTAACAATTTAAATTCAAGGTGTTCATAAAACTATAAAATAGACACGCTTTCAAACGCATTCGGAAAACTTTGACTTTAAATTCTAAAACGAGCAATTTATCATTTTAGAAGCAATTTAATAATTTTTTAAATGCCAAACCATGAAGACTTCCTTGTAGTTCTTTTCCTTTCGTGGAAAACTCGGTAAAGTGCAAACCAGAACTTCCTAATGTCAATCCATTTAATTAAAGTAAGTAAATTATAATTGGGAATAATAATTTTTCCTTTTTATTTTAATTTTGAACCAATCCAACAAGATTTCAAAATTCCGAACTTGGCAATGTTTCAAAAAATATAATATTTAAATCATTGAACGACCTAATGGATCTATGTTTACCTCTATCAAATGAGAATGGACTTCTCGAATATTGTATTTTACCATTTCCTTTTCTTTTTCATGTCAGCGTATGCAGGTAAGTGCAAACATTAAACCATGATCTTATTTATAATGTTTGGTTTAAAAATTGTATAAATATTCCTACAAAGCATTTCCATCAAAATTCCAAATAAAATCTTTGAATATAAGAGTTAAACCGTTTGCAAATAATCGATCTTCATATTTTGAGAAATATACGTATTGTTATGATGTGTCGATGCTTATATACACAAAGAGATGCGCCTCATTTACAGATCCTTGTACTAGCCATTTTACGATACAAGACCAAGAGAAGCGCTCAGCTGTATATCAATACGAATTTGGCGTCGATACTCCAATCAATGATGTTATGCTGACAGATGGCTGGTATAGAATTATTAGCAGCAAAGGAGATGACATGCCTACAGACCCACCGGATGTAATGAAATGCGGAACATGGTATCCAATCTGGTTGAACGGTAATGGATTTGTTTATTTCGTATGCTTTTAGTTTTGCTGTTTGAAGGTTGTCTTTTAAATCTTAACATGAATATGTATTCTAATGCTCCCATGTTCCATGTCTGTATTTACTTTTAAAGTGATTAAAAAGGAGAAAAGCAAAACTAATGCGATTTTTGTAAATTATGTATTCATAATGATAGTGAAGATTTTATTTATTTAAAACTATGTAAAAAATAAAATAACAAAAATACCGAACTCCAAGGAAAATTCAAAACTGAAAGTCCTTTATCAAATGGCAAAACCAAAAGCTCAAACACAAAAAACGAATGTCGTATTCTTGACTTGGTACAGGCATTTCCTTGTGTAGAAAAATAAGCAATTATACTTAAGTTTTCTTTCATAAAGATATGGTTCATACATGTTAATGCTTTCTTTAAAAGTCAATTCATAACAAGCTAAAATATGTCTAGCTTATGAATATTAAACAGCAGTTTTCGTCACCGTACGTTATTTTAGATTTATTAAAATTGACAGACTTCATTCAAAATCCTGGAATTTCAGATTTTCGTTTCATCTTATTAAAAAAATTCTGACGCATATTTCTTCGATACTACTACCGGGATGTCTGGAAATAATGGTGAGGTAAGCAGGCACAAAACTTCTTTGCTTTTTAACAATTTTATGTAAGGAACACTCTATAAGTTAGATGCGTTTAAATTGCTCTTCATCAGATCGTTCAAACCCCCAAAAATTAAAAGCCAAAGATGTATAAATGTTTGAATATGCGAGGAGCAATATCACCAAAAGGGACTTAATCGAAAGCACCTAAATAGAGTAAATTGTTTTACACTAGTCATTTTGTCATTTTGGGGCCTTTTATAGCTTGCTGTTCGGTGTGAGCCAAGGCTCCGTGTTGAAGGCCGTACTTTGACCTATAATTGTTTACTTTTTACACATTGGGACTTGGATGGAGAGTTGTCTCATTGGCACTCATACCACATCTTCTTATTTCTATATACTTGAAATTAAATGTAAATTATGATATGTTATTCAACATGAACTATATTTGATATTGTAACCATGTGCCTAAAACGTGTTGTTTTCTGTGGAACAACTTAAGGATGTTCGCTCCGCCTCCTCTGTTTCAACTTGAATAACAAGCTTTTTAAACGACTGTTATAAATTGATAGTTTATAAATAACGGAAAATAAAAAACGGAAAACTAACGGAACATAAAAAGCGGAAAAAATGAAAAGTCCGTGTCTTTGCTTTTGAGATATAATCAATTGAAAATTTGGCGGGAAATGATTCTCTCTAGATTTTTCTCACATTAAACATTGGCACCTTTTTTCTTTCAAAAACATTGAAAAAATAACAAGGATTTTATAAGATTATCAAAAATGGCTTTTTAAACTATATGTTATAAAACTATGGAAAAAAAGTAGAGGTTAGCGGGAAAATATTTTATTGGCACTACATGGATAAATTTAGAGGATTTTGAATATCTGACCAAAAAAAAAAAGAAAAAAAAGTAGCGAACATCCTTAAGAAGCCAACTTTTACATAAATAATTTGGAGCATCAACTGCCGCACGCTCGGATATAAAACATAGCTGTAACTGGCTACCTCTGTCAAACACGGCAATACTACGTTCGATTTTTTAAACGAGAGAAACGACTGTATACTCTCTACATATTTTCTTCTTATTGTCCTTTTACAACAGGAGAATTTTTATGAATGATATTACGCATTGAAGTTTACAGTTTACCAATAGTAATATCGACCAAAATACAGTATTTAAAAATCAATATAAAGATCATTGATATCAAACGATTTATTATATAATATATTTATTGAAAGTATCAGTGCTCCTTTTTAGATACCTTGCCAGTGGTTAATGATGGTATAGTGAGTAAAAAAGTATGTGTGCGACATATCAACACCGAATGTTCAAACAGCTGGAACATTCAAATAAAAAACTGCGACAATTACTATGTGTACAACCTAGTTAGCAGCGACATAGAAAATTCTGCGTATTGTATTGGTAAGCATAAGTAATAATCATAAAATAATTATAATGTGGGTTGAAACAAATAAATTATTCAGTTAATACTTTCTCAAATGTATTCAGCAATGATTTCTATCCAAATATACAGACCACAGTGTATGCAACACGTGTTTCTGAGACGACATTCATCAGACACAGACCACATTAAAGACAAATCCTTAAACAAGTTTAAATATTTAAAAGCGTCAAACGAAAAAAAGAACTGAATTATGCAGAAATGCCAAATTCGTCTAAGGTTTTTGTCATATTGTGTTAAATAATCTTAGTTTTAAATACAATCAGCAGTTCATTTGTTCTCAACATGTCAAAAGCTTCGTTGAAGCTATTTATATGAAAAATTACAAAGTGTATTTTTCATTTTTTTTTATGTATAAATAAGAAGATGTGGTATGAGTGCCAATGAGACAACTCTCCATCCAAGTCACAATGTATAAAAAGTTAACAATTATAGTTCAAAGAACGGCCTTCAGTACGGAGCCTTGGCTCACACCGAACAGCAAGCCATAAAGGGCCTCAAAATGACTAGTGTAAAACAATTCAAACAAAAAACCAACGGTCTAATCTATATAAAAAACGAGAAACGAGAAACACCTATGAACCACACCAACAAACAACAACTACTGAACAACAGGCGCCTGACTAACATATGATATGACAAAAATGCAGAAACAAAACGACAAAAAAAAGGACATGGTCGTCATTGTATAAAAAATTCCAAAATTATAAGGCGTTATTATTTTATCATGTCAATGCCAAAGTATAAATATTGAACTGTACTTTTGATTTTATTTAAAGATCACATTGTATTATTTTCCCAAGTACACAATTTCTATATATTTCCAAATATAATTTTTAGGATCTATACCTGTTCCATGCCCATATGGATATTCTTCAGAAACAGGATTTTATCCGAATTGTACCAGTAAGTTTGAACTTCTTATATAAACCTCGTTTTCAAAAGAGTTTTGATGTATCTTAAGAAATTGTTTCTCTATGTGTGATATCTACACAGTGGTTTCCTATTGTTTTGAAATTAACTTCGAACCCAAAAAACAACGATATTAATGGCAAATTTATTTCGATGTGTAAACTTTATCTAGCAGCTATATAGAACAAGTGTTAGTTTTCAAATTCCCTGCAACAGTTTATATTCTTTGGAGTGAAACGTAACTATATATAGTTGGTGGAAAACAGACAAAATCATATAAGAAATTACATACAAATTTTACAAAAATATCTGATCACATCTGAAAGGAGACAATGAATGTATAATTATATATTTCCCTTTTTCTGTTTAAGTGGATTTCCCAGACAAAAGCATAACGACAGCAGAAGTTATTGTAGATTTAGTTCCTGGTCCTGTTATTTTACCATGGTTTGGATACAGTTTAGTAACAGAGTTTATGTGTAAATTTGACGAAGTATTTGGAGACGACGGGGGTGAATTTGTGTATGATGTATATTGGTTTATCAATGAACAAAGTGTAATTTCACATAATGGCATAGCTTTCAGCAACATTACAATTACAAATCTTACAGAGAGTGATTGGATCGGGAAACATAGACTCAACATGGTCGTAAGTTTAAAGGACTTAAGTCATTACAATTACAAATGAAATGTATGATTTATATATGATACAAGTTACAAACAAACATGCATGTGCCTGTCCCAAGTCAAGAGCTTTGTCAGCGCTTGTCTTTTGTTGTATTATGTATTTTTGTCTTTTTAGGAAATTTGGTGCTTGTGGTAGATCTTTTATAAGTCTGTAAGATTTATTTTTGATAAACACAAGGTAGAGCCTATCATACTGTTTAGGCACATGCCGTTTTGTTAACGACCGTATGGTGCCTTCTAGATGTCTTTTGGTTTTCTGTGTCGTTGGGTTGCTGTCTCATTGACAAATATCCCATAATTCTTTTTATTCGTATTAGCTCTGTTCAATGTATTGATAACCTCTAAATATACCCGTTCATGTCACATTATTTATTATTATACTGTATAAAATTGAGTTACCAGTCCTATAGATGTAACATTACAGCATATTAATCAGTATAATTCATAATTCTGAAATTGATGTTAAATATACCAAGATATATGAAGGAAAAGTCATGATATAAACAATGTGAGACACTTGTAATCCTATTTGTACTACAGATATTTCTTAATTTAATTACCATATCTTTAATTAAAGGTAAGATGCTCTGTACGATTGAGATATAATGTGGGATTGACACCAGGACATGAAGTGACTAGTCCAAGTTATTCTGCGGGAATATATGTAAGTTAAGAAGTAATTCATCTATTGTTTAAACCAATGTAAAAAAAAATATGCATGAACAGTGACTCAAGTTCATACCTCTGTGCCTCTGACTCAAGTCCATACCTCTGCGCCTCTGACTCAAGTCCATACCTCTGCGCCTCATAGCATTGTTTCCTGATGATACACTATAAAGTAGCTGACTGATTAGTCGTTAGAACGAATATTTGGTACACCTGTCCATATCACGTTATAATATGGTTGATTTTGATTTTGATTTTCTATACTTTTGATAGTGTATAAATCATTGAAAATATATATGAATCTCATGAAACATGGTTGTTTCTCGGTAATCAGGTTGTTTGATGCATGTCCCTCAGGTCAACTGAACAAAAATATCATCAAAACTTGACAAGTACAAAATATCCAGTAAAATAGTTCACAGAAAAAAAAGCATTTGAGAGATTATACCTTTGTGACGAGTGATTTCCTTTACGTCACATAACTCTCTTTTACTAAGCCTGTACTCACTGTGATCAAATGATGTTGAAAACGTTTTATGGTGAGTATTACTAAGTTTAGGAATTGTGTTCGAAGTATGTGAAAATACAAAATGAATCACTCTCTTTCTCTAAAGCTACAATAAAAAAAAATTAAGCTTCTATGCGTGAATTTTTCTCTCTCGGAACCACTTATTAAACAGTCAGTGATAAAGTAAAATACAAATTATAGGCCTTATCTTACTCATATTTATTTTGAAAATTTTCCCTCAAACAAAAGAAATAACCGTATTGATAGAAATTGTTTGATATCCCCAGAAATGATGGTTTGTTTTTATAAGGACACATATGATTGATCGCACATACCTACCACTAAATGATGACACTTTTAAATTGGAGATTTGAGAAGATTTTTGAATTATGCAAATGCAAGGACTTTTCCTTTCACGACTTTTTGTACATTTACAATCATTTAGAAAAATAACAATTTACTGAAATAAAGAATTAAGGTAATATTCTTTATACCATTAAAAAAAATAAAAGTCACAGTTTTGACGGAAGTAGATATTTGTTATTAGTTACGTTAGCCTTATCGCTAGGACACCAGATGGTTCATTGCCATCATGACCAATAGCTATCTCAATAACTTACCCTGCCTAATAACCGACTCGTTTCTTTTATAGCCTGAAAAATATGAGTACCAAGTGAAAGAGAATGAGGAGATAGAAGTCAGACTAAATAGTACAATGCCTGTAGGGTGTATTGGTCATACTGATAAAGACAAAAAAGGATGTGCATACAAACTAAGATTAGCTCAACCTAATTACCAACAATCTTGTGATCAGAACAATTGTGATATTTGTGATGGAAATGTACAACAAGGTGATTTGTCATTTAAAAGGGCCAAATGCTCCTACAACATCACATCTTCAACGTGGGACCAACCCCTTACCTTAAAAGTTACTGGATATGTCAATGGACAGTACGATAACGCTGACAGAACTGTATATCTAAAAGTTTTATCACAGCCCACAAATTATTATGCAGGTGCTGGTCTATTTGCTATGGATGATATACAGATACCAGAGATTAAGGTACTTAAGAAAGAATGGAATATAAAAGTTAAATTAGTCTAGCTTGGTAAATGAGAAATAAGTTTAGGAAAACGAAAAAAAAAAGCAAGCGCTCGGTGACGTGTACTGCACTCAACCATGTAAATAGCAATACAAAAGTCTGAATATTTGTGAAACTATATTGATAAAAATATATAGATATAAATACGATGATATAATATCGTATCGAAATATACACCAAATGGTCAATGAGACAATAACCGCACAAGGTTACCGTAACCAAAATTAGCACTTGTATATAAAAAGTAAGCAGATGATGTATGATTCAATTTGCCAATCAGACAACTAACACCAGAGTTCAAATGATAAAGATATATTAAGCAATTATAGGTCAACGTACGGCCTTTAACGATGAGAAAAACCATACCGTAAAGTCAGCTATAAAAGGCCCGACATGAAAAATGTGAAACAAGAAAACTAACGGCCTAATTTATTATACAATTCATGAAAAGCAAATATGACAGACATTATCCAACGACAACCACAGGCTCCTGTGTATCATGTAGTCTACAACGACGAAAAGCACACACATCATATCATGCTATATGAGATATTTTTGAAAAAACCCAAACTTTTATTTCGTCTATTATTGAAATTTCTGGTCCTTCTTTTTGCATAAAAAATAAAACTTAAAAAATTAAAAATTTTAGAAACCATCGAAATAAACAAACAAAAATCCGAACAAATTATTTCAATTCCAATCATCATAAAAGTCAAAATGAAACTAATATTGTAAGAGTATTCAAATGTTATAAACATTTAACCAGATTCGAGTGACTGATGATGAACATCAAATGGCTGGAAGAATGTGTCGGTCGTGGAACGACCCTCACTTCTTTACATCAGATGGATACCGATGGGATTATTACAAACCAGGGGAATATGTTCTTTACAAACATAAAACAAAACCATATCAGGTATGTTGTTTGTCATTTCTAGAATTTCAGAGAAAATAGACAAATTTCCTTTAAATAAACGTCATTTTGCGTCATATTTCATTTAGCATCCGAAACATTTGACATTGTGGGTCTCTGTATCCCAGTACCCACCACACAAAAATTTACGAATCATTCATTTAATTGGATGCTTCATTTATTGTAAATATTTAGTTATCTAGTTAGTTATCTAGTTATCTCTTTGTAGTTTGCCAATATGAAAGGTGACTACGTTCATTTAATTATCATTTAATTATCTATTTACTATATATATATATATCTTAATTGTTTATCTAGTTATAAGTGTTTATAATTGTGTAGTTTGTAATAAAGCTGTGGCCAAATACTGCCATTACCGTGTTTCTGATTATTGCGCATCAATAATAAACATAAACAACGCTATGTATTTATCCATTCCTGAAAATACATAGCGAAAACTAACTGGCAAAATTTAAGACATAAAAATTAATCGGGGTTTTTTTTCGTTGGAAATTTATAGGTAGGATCAAAAGAGGAACAATTTCTGTAGCTAACATTTACTTATATTATAGCTTAGAAACTAGCAGTGAAACAATTTAACATATTCAATACTTAATCATAACATTGATTAATGTTTTGAAAAGGCCGATATGAAAAGAAACTGTCACTTTCCTTTTAATAAAAAATAAATCGCTAAAACGTCTGTTCTGTCCATATTTTGTTATATATGGACAAAGAAAAAAAAAAAAAAAAAAAAAAAAATTATAGGGTTAATTTGATTAAGAAGCTGTTCCATGTGAATTATGTATCTCCGATATGAAATACAGCCAATATTTAACATAAAGAGATGTGGTATGATTGCCATTAAGTCAACTATCCACCAGAAACCAAAGTAAAAGGTTGTAAACAACATCGGTCGCCGTACGGCCTTCAAAAATAAACAAAACCCATACCACCACATAACAGACATAATCATGTACTTTTTGTTTCAGGTGAACGCTTTGTTTGGAGTTTGCAATGGTATTGCCAGTTGTAACTGTGGCATAGCAATAAGGAGTGGTAACTCCATGTTTGTTCTGAGAACTTGTGATGTTATAACACAATATGAAACACGCACACATATCCTCCTATAGCAGAAATGAGAAGTTGTGATGATTCATCGATGATCATTGAGGAAAATGGAGAAGATTATACGGTAACTGTATAATTTGAATGTATTTGAGACAATTTTATTAATTTGTAACTACTACTCCCTGTAGTTGAAATAGTAAAGGTTAACTACACAGTCCATATCAATGAATTGAAAACATACTGTCATATCAAATATTATCTAATCTCCAAAGATACTAGCTTCAGAACAAGGAGATTATTTTTTTTGTTCTTGGAGATTTAACCTAATATTAAAAAACCAGATCTGAAATGATATAATTGTGCGAGAAAATAACGTTCAGTTTGCCAAACTCTCCTTTCAAGTCTCTTCCCAAATGCCCATTATCTAATTTATATACTTTAGATATATAAATTTCATATTCATATTGGAAATATATGATTTACATATATTTTCCACTTTTATGTTAACATGAAATATCATTGATATGTTCATTTTCTGTAAATTTTCTGTAAATTTACTGTTTATAAATTATTAAATTATTCAAAACACCAAGATTTTTCTACCTCAGGCAGTGATTGCTTCAGCCGTATTGGACACAGTTTTACGGATTTAAAATTTTTTTTAATGCTCTTCAACTTCGTAGTTGATTTTGCATTTTGGTATTGTTTTGATTCGAGCGCCACTGGTGAGTCTTATGTAGACGAAACGCGCGTCTGAGGTTCGAAATCATAAGCTTGGTAGTTTTGATGAGTTTTTATAAGCCAATCGAAACCGGCATTCAGATCTATTGTGAAATTGCATCCTATAGGGGAAGAGTGTGAATAAGATGTTGATTCTAAATAATTTCCAAAGAGCTGTTAGAGTTCAAGAAATGAACCCCCGGCATTCACCAGTGCATCCATGGTAAACGTAATGAATTTTTCCAGCCTCGAATCATATAATGCATGTCTAACGTAGATACCCACACATATAGGAGTGGAAAAAAGCATTCTTGATTAAACTGCTCGGATTATAACTAATATACGTAGTTCTATAAAGTTCACATCATCGAGATGTGCGTATTTTAAAGATATCATATTTGTGATGTTTGGGAGACATTTTAAAGGTATTTCTATGGGGATCAACTGTCCTCCCTACCTTTCTATTTAATACGTTTGAGGCAAACTTAATGCATTGGTTTCTCAAGAAAAATAAAATCAAAGTACTGAAGTACTGAACATCGGATGACCACAAGTTCTTGAGGATGGTCAAAAGCACTTGTCTCAGAAAAAAACAACATATCTCTTTACCTAAAACTGAGGTTAATGTACAGAGATATATTTTTTTCTGAGACAAGTTCGTGCGTGGATGATGAATAAATGACAGGAAATTCAACTTCACCGTAATAACTATTATATTGTAGTGATACAAATCAGTATACACTGAGTTGTTGTTTATATTATATTAAAATAACAGTTACATATATATATGATTTGAATCCATTTGTATATCATTCTATTCTACTATTCTAAAAATAGTGCAATGCAAGTGCATGGTGGACACTTTTCTGTAAAAATTCGATTTTTCTAAGATTGGATACGAGTAGGCATTCATATTTTCCCGCAAAATCAATTACAGAGTTACCGGTCCTTGACGGTATTTTCACAAAACGTTCTTTGAGATATTCTTCCGCATGCTTTAACACAATTTTTCGGTACGTGTGCATTGATATTATCAATGATTTTTTACTTATATATATATATCTAACTACAAAACATTTTCATATTATTAATTTATGTTGTAAACAAAAATATTTTTATTAGTATTCATTGAAGAGATGTATTTATATCAAACGATAAGGAATGTTATTTTGCACTCGTTTATGTGCGCGTATTTATCATGTTTATAGATCGGTTACAAACCCAAAACTAATTTACATAATGGAAATCTAGGCGATAGCAATACATCGGGATGACCTCAAGGTCATCGCGATGTAAAAAGTACTTATGTTAAAATAAAATTTCTCACAATTTCCCTTCACCTTTTACTGATTAATTCAACGCTTTGTGACTAAGGCTATATTAATCTCGTCATCCGATTGAACTTTCCATTTAGAGAACATAAGACAGAGCTATAACTGCTTTATACCTTTACCTACCCCAAAACACAGAGAACAAGGACAGTTTTTTTTTGGACAAAATAGTTAAGTTCGATATTTAGCATTGTGAATTTCCGTGTTTTAGCAGCATTAGTGTAAGTAGATTGAGTACATAATTACCTTTAACTAATCCCAGAGCGTGAGTGGCCTATCCGAATTTTCTTAATAGAAGATTGCTGATTACAAATAATCTATAAATAGTAAAATCGTTTCTTCCAAAAATTGACGACTTGTTCACAGATGACAACGTATAAATTTCATTCAGCGTAGCCATAACTTTGTCTTCCTTTCATAGTTCATGACTAATCACCGATTTTACATATACTAAGCAACATGGCAGGTGTAACTATTGAAAGGTATATGCTTACCCTTCCGTTTGAATACATTCCTGTTTTTTTCTTTGCTTCGTGTTGCTCAGTCTTAAATTTTCTTTTTATTGCTTTGGAAACTGTTGTTTGTCTTTCCGACTTATCATTACCATAATGTTGTATGGCTTCCTGTGTTTACATGAGTACTCTTTGGTAACGAAATAAACCATAGAGAAGTCTATCTACAATGAAAGAATATGTAAAGAGGAAAGTAGTAATCAATTTTACGTATACAGGGTCTGCGAAATCTTATTTCCAACTCTAAATTTATGGCGAGCTCATCACATGTTGAAAGATTTAATGTAAAAATAAAGTAAAATCTCGGAAAAGATACCAGGCTAAGGATGTTTTACACCAGTCGCGCGTTTTGTCTACTCAAGACTATTTATAGACACTCGAATCGAAATAGTCGGAATCTGTAGTGAATTGGTGACATTTTTTATCTATATTGTTCACAGAAAATCTATATTTACAATTATTTGGATATAGGCGATGTTACCTTATCTATACAATTAGGGATTATGAGGAGGATTTTAAATGTAACCAGTTTTCCTGGTTTCGATAGGCTTAAAGCATTCATTATGTTGGCATGTCAGTAACTGCTAGTAGTCCTTTGTTAATTAATGTATCATTGCCATTTTTGCTTAGTTTCTTTTGTTACCTATTCTGACATCGGACTCGAACTTCTTTTAAACTGAGTTTTACTGTGCGTATATTGCTGTGTGTTTGTTTATTCCACATTGGCTAGAGGTATAGGGGGAGGGTTGAGATCTCACAAAACAAGTTTTTTGCGCCTGTCCCAAGTCAGGAGCCTATGGCCTTTGGTAGTCTTGTATGTGTTTTTTTAGTTCATTTATATGTTTTGAAGTTTAGTGTGACGTCCATTTTCATTGAACTAGTACACATTTTTGTTAAGGGGTTAGCTTATTTTCTCGCTGTGTTGAAGACCCATTGATGGCCTTCGGCTGTTTTCTGCTCTTTGATCGGGTTGTTATCTCTTTGACACATTCCCCATTTCCATTCTCAATTTTATCAATAAAATGTGACTCAATGCAAGTTTGACTCCATAAAGAAAAGTTGAAATCATAAATAAAACAAATAAAAAGAACGAATGATTAAAAGGGTAATTTAGAATTCCTTTGTGAAAATTGTTTAAACAATAGGTCTAGATTTTTGTATGGATGCATGTGTCGTGTGAATGTACAAAGTATAACAATATAAATTCGTATCAGCAAAAATTATTGCATAAGAAATGTTAACTCCTTTTTTTAAGGTGACCTTACCAATAGGGACTGAAATAAAATTTTCAACTTCATCGGGATGGGGACATAACAAGTTCATAGGTTATATACATGTTAAACCATCGATATTAGATGTTGAAAGTTCAGAAGGACTATGTGGATATGTTAGTGGTGGTTCCGTGAATACAAATGATGATTTCGCATTGAGAGATGGTACCACAATATCAACTACAATGGATAATTGGGAAACTTTTGCAGAAAACTGGAGGTATAAGTAATATGATTGTTTATGCAGAAAATTATATTTACAAGTATTGTATGTTTCATGTGTGCCTCTATTTGCCTTACCTTGATGCAATTATTACAATTAATGCAACTGATTTAGCTCGGTTAAAAAATGCTTAATGAAATTCAGCAGCATTTTTATTTTACTTTGAGTAAAAACAATAATAAAATTAAGGCATCGTATCTTTGATATGATACCCCACAGAAATGATAATTTGAACTTTCATACTTTAGTACCCTAATTTTGTTAGTGGAAACTTACGAATTTCATGGACATTGTTATGCAAGTTTTATTTCATCGTTAATGTAACAACAACACACACACATTTATAAAATAACAATGAAATAAAGTGATTATTATCCTGGTGTACAAACCATTATTTTTGTTTTACAAATATCAAAAATTTAGAATAAGGACAAGAGTTTTGTTTTAAGAAAGAACTTAAATCGTTAATAATGACCAGATTAAGAAAAAACCTTTAAGTCATTCAAAATGTTGTAAAAGTCGATTTATGAGGCCAGACAGCTGATTACTATTTCAGCTTTTTTGATAAATTGTACAGTAAATATAACAATTTATAAATTGTATGCGTACCCCCGGAGAGTGATAATCTACCCGCAGATGTACCAAATTTGAGAAACTAAAACGTACTATACCGATTTTCCTGTACGCGACAAGTATTTGCAGTTGTAAATAAAGATCTTCATTAGGCCGTTATATATTTATTTTGTTCTTTGTTTTTGTTTATCGTTTTATGCAGAAAGACTTATATAAACAAATCCATGTTACCTAATAAAGTGATAGGGCTATATAACACAACTATATACAACTGTATACAACTACGTATGTGTGCTTTTTCTCTTCAGAATATTTGTAAAGTGGAATGAATTGAGATCATTATATTCATTATTGTAATGTTTACAGTGTGTACGGTAGATAATGTTTTTAAAAATAAGCAATCATAATAACGAAAAGGACAAAAACCATAATTTTTATATGATTCCTAGGTCTCAAAATGAGAATCGATATTTTTTTTGTAAACCACCCCTTTCGTGTACTTAGTGATTACTAAAAATTCATACATGATCTGACTAGTCTTATGATATCTTTTCTTTTAGGGTACACGATGATGAAAGATTTTTTGTAGACTATCCTTTAGCCCTCAATCAAGATATCAATTTTCAACAATATTGTATTTGTGAAACGGAGGAAACGTCAGGAACGCCATTAGATGATTTTAGGTACAAGTGTGGTTTGGAAGGTCCTCTAAAAAACTGTTTATCACAATCAGCAAATGCTGCAAACTTTCATACAACATGTTCATCATCCAGGGAAAGAAGGGCGGTTGGTTTACATCATATAATAACAAAAAGCTTAACAGACAGTGATGACATAATTGACAACAGAGAAATTTACATAGCTCCTGATAGTGAGCTTTCTGCTGTTAACACAACACATGTAAGTATCCATTTCTTATTATTTCTAATATGATATGACAATCAACGGTGAAAGCATTTGTATAAGATGTGTAACACAATGTCTAAATTACCTTGAAACACAAAGCTTTTTTTCGAGGGAAATGTATTTAATTGTTGGAGAAAATGTACATTTGCATTGATAATCCTTATTTGTATAATAGTGATTGAAGATAGCTATACCCAATATCAATATAAACTGATGGTATGCTTAACTTTAAATTTATGTAAGGCTCAGTAAATAAATTCAGAATTAAGACAAACACTACAAATTATAGTAGTTGTTAATTTTTCTAATTCCCGAATATATTATTTCAAAAGTGTAGTTTTGGTTAAAGAAAAAATACATTATTCTAAATCCATTGTGAATGTATAGTTTAAGATCACTTTGTTAATTGTTATTACCATATCAATGACAAAATACTGCCACGTTTGAATTCCAACATTTTATTCGTTAAATTTGTAAGTATTTACTTTGAATGTCGAGCAGATAGATGAATGGCCTGAGGGTTGGACAGAAGCAAAAGCACAAGAAGTATGTGAGTCTAACATCATACAGGCAGTCTCCGAAGACATCTTGGAAGCATCGCATACAAGTACAGATGGCTATATCGAAACATGCAAGTTTGATATTAAGGTACTTCATTGCTTGTAGGATTCTTATAAAAATTATATACGATGGAATTGGAACGCTATTATTTTATTTTCTTTCATCTTATATCTTATCGGATCAAACAAATTTGAGACTGAACATGCATTGATAAATTAATGAATGGAACAACATTTTCTATACTTTTTTTATTAGGTTTTGGATTTTCCAATATTTCAGCCTCGAGCGTCACGGAAGAGACTTTAACTGTCGAAATGCGCATCTGGTGCCTTAAAATAGTACCGTTAATTTTATAAAACGTATCAATTGATAATGTATATTAATTTGAACACATGTTATATAAATGTGCATGTATCAATATGGCCAGCATATAGTTTTAATTGTTTATACTTTTCACTTATTTTGAACTTTGATATTTTGATATTTTCTTTTTTTCTAAGGTCGGAGGGAAGGCGTCTTTCGATCTAAAGACGGCTATTCTCTAAGAATGGAAATATTATAAAATTGCATGTGGTATTTTCAGAGTATGTTTCATTAATATCTCCCTTTGCAACCTAGGTATCAAGATATCTTTTAAAACATATCAAAGATAGCAGGTTTATGATTTTATAATAGTATATCAGAAGCTCGTTTCGTTTACAGTGGCGACCGAATGAAAAAAATAGGAACGCCCCCCCCCCCCCCCCCCCAAAAAAAAATAATTACGAAATTTTAGAGCATTTAAGCAAAAAAATAATACAGTAAAAATGTTAAACCAATTACAAATTTGAAGAACATTCAAAACAGAAATTCTGAAAACATATGCCAAATATGACTAAGTCAATCTATCCATGGGGCTAAAAAAAAATATTGAACAGAAAAAAGCCAAATTAAATACGAAGTTGAAGAGCATTAAAACCGAAAATTCCAAAACGTTGTGCCAAATATGGCTAAGGCAATCTATGCCAGGGGCTATGTAATATATATTTGTAATATTTTCACTGACATTCAGTAGATGATGAACTGATCGTTTAAAGGATATACCGTATTATACCAGCGGACAGTGCTTTTTGAAGACATGAACTATTTTATGATTGAAATATTGAAAAAGTTACAGGCAATTGAATTAAAATCCTTATTTCTTTAATTTGACATTTTTCTGGATAAGCGTTCATATTTTGGCGATTTAGAACTTTTTATCAGTCGTTTCATAAAGGAGCAAATCTATCTTCAGTTGGCTGGTGACACACGGTTCTTAGAGGCTACTATCAGTTCTTTGCAGGAGGTTGCAATATCTGAAATCTCAAGAAATCGTTCTTTATTCTTAAAAGAAAATGAGACTGAAACTACAAATACAAAGAAGTCATTAGGAGAGACACTACTGAACCGTCTGTGCAGAAATAACTGCAGTAACAATGGAGTATGCCAAGCTGGTAAATACTACATGTACATATAGATCGATTACAGGTTCTTGTCGTTTTATTTCAAATTTAAACGTTATGCTATTGCAGGAGTTTACGTGGATGTTTAAGAATAACTTTTGTCACTATATTGTACTTAAATTCAAAAGATGGTAAACTGGTTATCGCAAGAATATATTATAGCAGTTGACAGTGTTTCTCAACCATGAACTATTTATGCATTTAGATAAAGATTAAAAGTTTAACATTGCAAAAAAAAAAAATACATTCAGTTGCTGTTATGGTGAACTAACAAAGACATTCATTGTTAGAATCACGTAATTGCCAACATATGTAAGACATATACACTAACAGAAGCCTGATGTTCAAATAGCCAGAATTTTCTAAGAAATCCGTTTTAGAACTAATTCAGACAACCCGGCTATTAAAGGTTTTAACTCCATCCTTTCAGCGTTTCAATGAATTTGACTTATTCTATATAAAAATTATGAGATGTTGTATGATTGCCATTGAGACAACTATCATTTTGAACCAAAGGACAAATTGATGTGAACAAATATAGGTTATTGTATAGTCGTCAGCAATAATCAAAACCAATACCGTATAGTAAGTTATAAGATAAAAAGTGAAATAATGCGGTAGGAAAAACCAACGGACTGATTTATGTCAAAACAATAGACGAAAAACAATTATGGCATGTTTTTTTCATTCATTTTGTATGAAATATATATATTTACTTTGACATTTCATTCTGCTGTCTTTTTGTTTTGAAGGCGTCTGCAGCTGCAATATGGGTTTCGGAAAACAAGACTGTTCCGAACCTATATCATTTCCACCAAGAAACATAACTATTCCGATGAATGGTATCTGCGATCCAAGAGAAAGATTGTGTGCTAAAACAAATATACAAGGCGTTTTCTATTCTAGAAATATTACATGCCGTTTACGGCATTATGAGGTGAATAATTTCCCACATGATTTTTTGTTAAAACATTAGGATTTGCATGATTTGGTAATTATGCTTAAAAGAGCCGCTGATACCGACAACACGTGTTTTCAAAAAATATTCTCACGTATTCTTGAGACCTAAAGCTAAATACACACAAAGTGTGTATGAAAATCATATCGGTGCTAGCCTAGATAAATTATTTAATGACTACACAGGTTCATTTGCATCCGGCAAAACATGTTTTCTTTCAAATCCTTATCATCTTTAAAATAGAGGGAAAAACATGACGAAGGCACGCAAGTTGCATGGTTATTAGAAGACATATTTTGTGATCGCTTTCCTCCTGAGTACATAAAATCTAAACATGAGATACCATAGGGGCAATTAAGAATCATCGCAAAGACAGACAACATCAAGCTGAAAGGCAAGAAACAGTTAACAGAACAGTGTCATTCCGTAATGTTATCCGTATCTCGATATCTCACTGGTTGATACACTTTGATTTATAATAATTTAGGACTTTGAAGACGATGAATTAACATTTGTTAAGAGAGATATCTCAATAAAAAGCATGAAGAAACATTTGAAGGGATTACAATAACGAGACCCTGAAACAGAATTTCCAAAATATGTACCTTTTTCCAAAATACCTTTGAGAAAAAAAAGGAAGAAAAATAATGATATAGCATTCCGTTTGCTTTAAACTGCTGAAAGTTGATTCGAAATAATGTGCAGTCGTCAATATTTTATACGTTGGTAATTTGCAAGTATGAAATGTGTAATTTTTGTTCAAGACAATGTATTGTTTTTTAGAACTTAATTCAAATGATTTAATCACAACAAAAATGCTTTGATGTGTGATAAGTATGATGGTGAGATTTACGATTTTTGTTTTAATTACGCATAGACGGACTAAAGCAAACATACATTAGCCCTCTACTCTTATTCAGATGTTTTCCATAGAATAAATGGCTGAATATAAATTTATTCAATAAATAGATAAATTTATGTATGAACAAGATATCAAAATTAAAACATGATTTTTTGGTAATTAACCTTTAACAATAAGTCATACGGTCAAAATTGAAATAAAGAAATAAACACGGCAAATTACTATGCATTATTAATTAGAAAAATCTGATTTTGGACCCACAGCGCTTAAATGCCGCTTGTAAATCCAATATTTTCTTTAATTCATATGTAGAAAATAAGAATTGCATTTTGACCTAAAAGTAATATTTGAACAGTTATATTGCACACACTATACATTCAAAATTTTTTAAAAGAGAAGCGAAAGATACAAAGGGACATCCAAACTCATATAAGTTGAAAAAAACGGCCAAAAAACTAAAAGACAATCAACAGTATACAAAAACACAACATAAAAACTAAAGACTGAGCAACACAAATTCCTTCAAGAACCGGGGATGATCTCAAGTGCTATGGAAGGGTTAGCATTTCCTGCTCCATATGTGACACCTGTCGTGTTGTTCCTATAAAATACATTGATAACATATATTAAGAAATATATATTGAATTTGAATAAATTGATGATCTAAGAAAATAAACTTTTATTGTAATGGTATTATTCGAATTTATAAATTTTTTCAGATATTACAGACCGGAAATTGGAGATACACATCTGATTATCAGGCATATGAGGGGCAATATAGAAATTCCTTGTTGGTTTCTTGCGAATTACCATCAGCCCGAAGGAAAAAACGCTCAAACTCAGAGTCAATTATAGCTGATGGATATGAAATAAGTCTCTCTAATGACGGAACTAATTTTGGCGAAAACGTCAAAATACTGATTTACGACCAAGAGTGTTTTTCTTGTTATTTGGAAAACAATACATGCATTGAATTGGTAAGGGTCGACATTTTCAACAAAAGAACTTTAAAAGAACGGTTTAAAATGCTTTGATGTAGTCTGCGGTAAAGAAAAGAATTATTCTATACTGTATAAAATTGAAGTTATGTATTTTTGTTTTAAATAAACACACATTAATTTTTCGCAAAAGTTTAGAATATACTGCTCTGTTACAAAGAATAAATTATTTGGTTTTTTTTGGTCAAAGTGATTTAAAGATGAATTTCTGTTGTCTATTTTTTGTCAAATCCTTTTTGATGAAGTAGCAGTAACTTTTGTAATGATTATATGTTTATGAAATGTTTGGTTAAATGTCCATCTATAAGTTGTACAAGGTATTAGCAATAAACAGTCTTGTTATATGGTTAGTAAAGGAAGCCATTACTTATAAAACTTTTCTGTAACCGTAATATGTTGGATTTAAACTCAAATATTCGTAAATACATCATCTTGTGCGTAAATCTTTTGTAGGATGAATGTTCCGTAGGAACTACAACTGAAACTACAACAGAGCCTCCCACTAGAGTGAGTCAAACCTCAATGACATCTACAACCAAACCCATTACAGTTAATTCTGCAACATCGTCTATGTTGGTAGAATCAGAAACCACAAAATCAAGTTCAACTCTCCCAATGGCTTCAACCGAATCAACAACTGAAACCATTACAACCAGTCCTAAAACGCCAACAGTATCATCTGAGTCCACTACGAAAGCCAACAATGTCACAACTTCGAAAAGTAAGATTTGAAAATATAATACAGTAATTCAAGTCACTATGGATATTTTACAGAAATTTTTAGTAGTTGTCATAGATATTTATAGTTGCATGAGTTGAGAATCGTATTAAATTCGACTATCAAACCTGGGAACAGTATATCTAATATATATATATGTTCCTGATCAAACCTAGAAGGTGTTGATGCACAAGAATTTATTGAAAGATATTTTTGATTAGAATAATAAAGCTTTGATGTTTCTTTTCAGTTATATAATTAATATTATCAATGTCCTTGATATTATTTTATCAAAATAGATTTGTGACTCAGTTTAGAATTTATTCGTTTCGTCAATAATAAATCTTTGTTATTTGCTATGTATTTTACAGATGAAAACACCGAAACATCAATTGTTACTGTCATTTTAGCAGGAGTTATAGGAGTTTTATTTATAATAATCCTAGTTCTTAGTGGAATTTTATACTCTAAAATGAGTATAAAGAAAAATGGGTATGTACAACTCACTACACATATCTTATTTAACTGCTTAAGTGAACAAATTAGTAGGATGTTTAATTAAAAAAATCGTTAGAAAAAAGTAAAATAAAAAAAATACCGAACTCCAAGGAAAATTCAAAACGGAAAGTCCCTTATCAAATGACAAAGTCAAAAGCTCAAACACATCAAACGAATGGAAAACAAGTGTCATATTCCTGACTTGGTACAGGCATTTCCTTATGTAGAAAATGGTGGATTAAACCTGGTTTTATAGCTAGCTAAACCTCTCACTTGTATGACAGTCGCTTAATATTCCATCAAATTGACAATTTATAATAGATATTTGCAAATTCGTCTATACATCATTGTACATTAAGTGGATATAGTTATATTTTTAACACATATATTTTAGGAAAACCCCAGTTACAATGAGAATAATGATCCTTATATGTTCACTCAAATTCTTCTTATATGTATCGGCCATGTCTCTAGTCTAAATTGCATTATCACATCATTTTCAATGAAACCGTTTTCTTTATTTGCATTTGACATACACTGAATTTTATCTGTTGCTGTATGGATGATGTCTTTTTATAGGAAATAGTTAAGAGTAAATGAACTCCATAAGATCACGATTCCAATCATGCTTGTGTTATATAATACAATCAACAGCAAGTTCATGATTGCAAATTTGAAAAAGAAAGGCGGAAGATACCAAAGGGATACTCAAACTGACAACGCCATTGCAAAAAAAAAAAACGAAAAACAACAGTATACCAAACGCAATATAATAAACTAAAGACTTAGCAACACGAACTCAACTAAAAATATACATCGATATATCTAAGGCAAAGTATGCCTGAGCGAGCTGGAATCTTATTTTTTCTAAAATTAAGTTGTGGTTGAGATCGGTTTAAATATGACCGCATTTGCAAATTAGTTATGTTGAGTGTTCTCAATAGTTTTATCTTGTTTATATATCAAAAGTGTTTGAAAAATGATGTCTGTTTTGTTTTTTACATTACAAGTGTTCAAAACATAAGTATCTTGTTTTTACGGATGACGCCCGTATTGTTTGTCTGGATTGTATTGTAAATGCTTCCAAAAAGGTTCATTGGCGTTGAACATGGATGATTATCCATCAAGGTATCACTGTGATATGCATGGTTAAACTGTATTTTGTGCTGTTCTTTGAGTGTAAATATTGGATTGGTTCTTTTGTTTTCTCTGTCTATCGTTAGAGTATGGTAGCTTAGTACCCTTTTAAGTATCCTTCTTAAATTTGAACTTTAATGTTACGCCAACAATTCAACCAATTCGCATTGGGAATATATGTAAAAGTAGCCCTTCTCTATCAAGACATATGCTTTTTATATTGTGTTTGCTTAGACTAGCGAATAGATTAACATGAATGATATTTTGCTAAATGAAAAGTATATTTAGACTTTTTTTAAGGCCAAATTTACTTCCACGCGAGTTTGAATTTGCATGACAATTTTAGGGTACATATGTTATATCGTATATCCCTTGAAGGTTTTCCGCAAATCAGAAAGTTATTTTTAGTAGGAGGTGACTTCCTGAACGTCATGTTTCACTTCTCACCTTTAAAACATGTTTTTAAAATTGGCACATAGAAAGAAGAAACATGTACAATAAAGTCTATTTCTAAGTTAAATATATGGACAGCTGTGAAAATTGAAAATTTGGATGAATTTATCGGGGATTGAATTTGTGGTATGCCACATAACTTCTACCCAATTTCGGCGTTAATAGTGATTTCATAGCTACCAAAATATGTTTATAATTTTTACTGAGGTCACCTATTAAATTAACAGACATTTACCTCTGTTTGAAGGAAAACAAACGGTTATTCTTGACTTGAGGGTCCCATATATTGCTGGTACTATATATAATGTACTTGTCAACTTCATATATACTTTTATATCCTTTAAAATCGGATAGAATTGCTATTTTCACCTTGAAATATAAAATAATGAATGTAGTGTTAATGTCATTTTAAACTACCGGATATAAATTTAGATCATCTTATTTTTTAATTTTTCAGGCATATTGAAGACAATTTGGTCCATCAGTTTCAAAATCCTGCTGAAAATACAGGCACAAAGTCTCAATACACAGACAAATATTACAGAGGGAATAGTAATTCTTCTTTAGGAAATGTATCGCTAATAAATCTTGAAAACGACAACATATCAAAACCGAGAACACCTGCGGAACTTTTTTTCGTTTGAAATGATAACAAATAGATATTTTACTTCTTAAATTTTATTTACAGCATTATTGATATTTTATATGACAACGTCTGCATTTGGGAAGATAGTCTTTCAGAATTTGAAACCATAATATGTGCTCAATTGATTCATGATTGTTAAAGTCATATGATACGAGTTTCTTGAAATTATAATTTTAAGGAAATGTGAGCCAAGGCATGTACATATACAAAACTAAGTCCTCTATGCACGATTTCTTTTACATTTATTACGAACCTGTAACATAAAATCGACAAAAAAAAATCATCCATCTAAACCTTTGCTTGCTAATTAACTTTCGGGTTACCACAGTTTACGAAAGTTTACCGATCGTGACCTTAAGAAACAATCAACACAGAATCATTGAGCACGTAACAAATATGTGAGATGATAGAGATGCAATAGAGGAGTATAATTTGTACGCAAGACGCACGTTTTGACTACATAAGACTCGAATCAAAGAAGTCAGAAGGCCATAAGTCAATGTGTATGTTACTTCATCATTTTAATATCGTTAATACTTTTAGATTGAACATTTGAAACCTGTCTTATAGTCAAAAGTTTGTCAAATGATTTGCACACTAAAATAAGAATCAATACTGTCCTGCATGCGTTATTGAATTCATACATTTTAAAAAAGAAGAGTTGTTGAAACATAAGAAATAGTCATCAAACAATTAATACTTTGATCTTCAGCTTACTTGCAGAAAGCTTTTGTCAATTTATATATCTGTTATGTTTCTATTGTCGTTTTTATATTACTATACTAATAAATGTTTATGTTTAAAAGTTTATGAAATACTCTTTATATATTTTTACAATTGTCTATTTTTTTAATAAATAAAGAAATTAACTAACTTCTTGTTGTCAAATACCCATAAATAGCTAATAATATGATGTGTTCATTTTAGCCCTTTAAAGTGTCCAAAAATTATGTCAATTTTTATTTTGAATTGAGAAAATAATAACATTACAATATTATTGACATCGTGTACATTAACTATGTCATTCTACCTACCTGATGTATGTTTTATTCTAAAATAGGACCACATTTCTTAAAGTTCACATATTCGACTTCTGACTGTTGGAAAAAATAATTTTTGTTTATTGCTTTCCACTTTGACCTGGTTCTACTTACATGTTTTGCTTCGTTTATCCTTTTTGAATTTTAATGAGCAATTTATCAACCTTAATCATGTTAAAACATATTGTGGTGATTGTAATTATATAACGTCCATTTGTACACATTTTCAAATAGAAAGTATTTTGTGTAGCTTTACAATAGACTACACCAAAAAAGCACCTTTCATTATATAAAAATGACAAGAATTTTTATATTATTTCAATAGATAAGCTTCATCAATGTGGTTAATAAGTGTTCAGTGTCCTAAGGTATCTTGTATGTTTGGTATAGGGTCCTAACTTACAAGGATAAACAAGTTTTTTTTAACATACTATTGAGTCTTTCTGTAATTTAAAGGACGGCTCTTTCTTCTTTGAGCCTCGGTAAGGTTTAGTTTTACAACTCCATTACAAAATAGAAGCGAGGGTGTTATAACTTCAATCTTTTTGTGACCAAAAATTGTATGCTAGTGCCTTGTTCTGAATATTAACTGTCGAAACCCCCGTATTTGCCAATGGGCTCCCTGAGTCCTCTTATTGAAAGTGACAGATCCACCAATGCATGCAATAAATAAGGATTATCAAATATATTTTCATGTAATCACATTAACGGTACAAATTTTATTGCACACGATACGTATTGTGACAATTAATGTCATTACAGTGATGGTCGATGTCAAAATTGTGAAAAACCAAAACCTAAAACAAACGTTGAAGAGCTGTTAAAACCCAAATTGACATAAAGAATCGCCAAATCCGGACAAGGAATCAGAGCTGTACATGCGGAGATATATTCCTTATCTTGAAATGATAGTAAAAAATTTATAACAGCAAATTTTAATTAAACAATACCTGTATTGTCATGCCCGTGCCGAAGTTAAAAGGCTGACTTGTGTTTTAAAATGAAAATGATTTATTGTTTTTGATTGGTCGCTTTGTATCATTTTCTTCTTTTTACATAGTATTTCCTCTTATGTAGACCATCATTTCCACATTAATTGTCAAACATTTGTTTGAGGGTGAAAGAATAGGGAAGTTTTTCCAACAAAAGTGATGGGTTAAAACATGTTTTTCAAGACGCTAAATCTACCACTTGTATAACAGCCATTTCAGTTTCGATTAATTGTCCCCCCCCAAAAAAAAAATGTCTTTTGTTGCTCTGTCGTTAATGCATCACACATAACCAAACGGACATAGCTGTATGATTATGTTTATGTTTATATATATTCTGCAAAATCGAACGGCAGCCCTTTGGTCCTTGAAGATTGGCTTCGCGAGCTTTCGGCGTCCGAAGCAAGGCACACTCCAAAATAAACACGTAATTTAACATACCCAATTAGTTTCAACTTGCCAACGTAATAATACATACTGTAATGCCAAAAGGATGCCATTGACGAGAGTTGTTGAATGTCAAACCATTTCATGCAGAATATTAAATTCACATATTCAAAATATATACCTACATAATTTCGGATAACTTGCACAATAAATAACTAGAAAATTGTACAAATGAAATCAATCACACATTTTGAAAGCAATGATTTACCCCTCCATCCCCCCCCCCCCCCCCCCCCAAAAAAAAGAAATTGTACATAAAGAAATAATTAGTCTGAACGAAAGAAATTTGTAAGGAACATTTACAGCACTGGGTATATAACGCGGCTAGTGTTCTATCTGTCCCTTAGAGCTCAGTAGTAAATACTTCGTTACTGACATGATTCATAACAAACCTTTCTTAAATTGTCCCTTGATAAATTGAGAAATTATAAAGAAACTAGGGTTTCGACTCCATCAGGCAAAGATGACCTTAGATGGATTTGGCTATTTTTTTATGACCTTTTTGGTAATATAACTCCTCAAGTATTTCTGTTCTCACACTTCCTTGGTTTTCAAATATTCGGCTTTTAGTGTTTCTGATGAAGGTAAATTAAGAAAATCGCTCACGGCGCATGAAATTTATCATTGTTGCTTTTTTTCAAATGAAATTGGACTTTTAAAATATGCATTGTATATTTTCCCAGTCAGTGAATCATAGAAAATTGTTCGTCTATTATTTAATGTATTGAATTAATGTCAAAGAATTTCTTTGAATTACCAAATTGGAGGAGTGCGAATCATATGCGAATGCGAATATTCGCGAGTATTATGTGAAACTACATTCGCTTTCCCTACATTTTACATTCTTTTACAAAAGTATTACTCATCACAAACGTGTAGACAGCTTGGAAAAATAAGTCCAATTTTGTTAAATAAAAAAAGAAAGCCTATGGTAGACACAGATACCTTGTTTGAGGGATAGACAAATCATACTCTGTATAACATCAATTTAATTTTAAGATAGATTTATAAAAAAACTGACTTCAAGATGTGTTTTTCAAGACAAACAAAAAAATGGTAAACGTTTTCATCAATTGATATTTGTACAAAAACTCACAGACAAAAAGACAGAGCATCCTGTCAAGGTTTTTAATTTCCCGTTCAGATGTATTGATGGTGTCATTTCACGCAATAATCCACATGTAAGCGATTGTTTGCATCACTCATTTTCTAGTAAACTGAACATTATGGATACTGTGGAAACTAGAAGGTATACTTCATAGCTAAGGAGATTTTAAATTCTAGGCAATAGTATGTAAGCTATGTTAAATTCTCATAAAATATTTGAGAAAATACAAATCAATAAAGTCCAGAAAAAAAGAATCGCATGACATTTATAAGGTTCTAGACCGTTGCATCAATAGGACAAGCGTCTTGATATTCACAAATCACCCACAATGCAAATCGATAATAAATCAAAGGGCAATCAGGTTTAGGACACAACCAGTTAATTGATAGATCAGACGACCATTTTGTCGATTTCATTTTCCCGTTCATAGCTCTGTTGATGCAGTTTCGTGTCAATAACATCTCTTTTAATGAAGTCCCTGTAGTGTAAAAATACACAAGCGTAAAATATTGAATGAAATTTGTAAACTTTATTCGATTGGGCAGATATTTTGTTACTGCTGGATATCATCAATATATCTGAAAGTGAAATTAAAGAATTTTTCATGATGCTATTTCTTTTTGCCATTAAACAAGGATCTATGAAAAACGTCACATTTCAGTATCTCATCGTCAATCTAATATATTTCAGTAACGTAAACTCTGTCCCATTACCAATCCCAATTAATAGGAGAGTGCTGCTATGCAAAAACTGTTCGAGGTGTTAAAGAGTTTATCTATTTTGGTATTTGACTATCCATCCTACTAAATTCTGGTTTGATTATATCAACTGAAATGGGCGATGACACAGGAAGTGTGCATGTGGTTTAAGGACATTTGCCGAGCCCAACATTCAAAATATTTACTAATGCCACTATATTCCTCGTTCCTGTCAAGAACAAAAAGGCTAAATTGCCCAACCGATTTATAAACCACTACCGGTTGGGGAAAATTAATAAGAAATGAACATACATTGTTGTATTCTTCTTATACAATAGGCATAACATTGCGAAAAAGTTAAACAAGGTACCAAAACACAAACTGTAACACTTCATTATTTTATATTTTACAACAAAATATTTCAATTCATCCTTCGACTAATAAACTGAGACAGTGAATCATTTGACCAACAGCAGAGCACATGCGTAAAAATAAAAGAAATCACTTTCCGTAAAATATTCATGGTTTCAAATACTGAATTATTATTCAGTATACATCCAATAGATTTACACCGAAAGCGTTATTAACAGTCTGAGAAATGACCGACCTTGTGCGATGCCAAAATATAAACCGGAAATCGTTACGTGTGTCATAGTTTCTAGTTTGAATTTGTCAATCTGTGTCAATATATGCAAACGATCAAGATATGGCGCCGCCCTTCAGGTTTCAGTAAAAATAAAATTGAGAATGGAAATGGGGAATGTGTCAAAGAGACAACAACACGACCATAGAGCAGACAACAACCGAAGGCCACCAATGGGTCTTCAATGCAGCGAGAAACTCCCGCACCCGGAGGCGTCCTTCAGCTGGCCCCTAAGTAATTCATTTCACGTTCCCAGGAATATATAAGATGCAAGCACTCATTGAAATATCTGTTATATAGCAACTAGATGCTTTTTCTTGTAGTCCTCAAGAAGGTTTGGGATGCATTTTGTGGTCAAGCGTACAAAACAAAAGGAATGAAACTTTTGTTGAAAGAGAAATATATTTAGACCATTTTAAGCCACCATTTACCTGTCCATGAGTTTGCATTAAAAACTGAGGATTAATGCGCTCCATAGTATACTTATTTAAGATTTCCAGAAAACCAGGGGTTATTTTTAGCAGTACTTGTCTTCCGCACGTTAGTACTTTGCTAGAAAACTTTAAACATAGGTTGAAAATTGTCATGTAGAAAGGTGATACATGTACAATATAGGATATACCTGGTTTCTATGAAGTTAAACTTAAGGTAAAATATTTAGAAAGCTGTGAAAATTGCAAAATTTGGTTGAATAGATAGTGATTTTGAATTGGTGGTCTGACACCTATATATTGCTTTTCTAAGGAGGGTTTGGTACCCAGCATCAAGAAGGAAGAATTCCATCGTCCTTTACATCTTTATACCGAAGGAGAAAAGGACGAGTTTGTGATTTTATAATATCTCTTTTTCATAAATGATCAGGAAGTATAAGTAAGATTCTCAGATTTGCTGGGAATTCCATGTTCTTCTGTAAGGCAATCCAAAATAAAGATTTTTGCATATAAATCAATACTGTTTGAGACTTTCTTATCGGTAACCTTTATGAACATAATTCAAGGTATCTTTGTTGACTTTGTAAAATAACTTGGATTGTCTTTTATTGCTATGTTATTGCTCTTTCTATTTCTTTTGCGTACATTGTTTGCTCGTTCATAATTTTTAACTTTCTCATTCTGACATTGTCCTCTGAATTTTCGTGATTGATAATGTCTTCAATATTCTACTGTTTATAATTTGATACTGTGATTGCTTTGTATTTTTGTATTAAGTATACATTGGGGGAATAGAGTACGTGATAAGGTAACATACCATAAAATGAAGAGATAACATCACCGAGAAGAAAAGCACACTTCAGTCCAGAATAACATTATTTATTAATTAGTTGTTTTTGGGTTTGAACATTCAGCAACTCTGAGTTTTCTTAGATCGATAGTTTGTTTCTTTTATCTTTATGTAAGTAATTTGTAATGCTTCGTGCCGTCTGATGAGTCAAGTTATTTGCATTTGATTTTTAAAGTTTGTTCTTATGTTGTGCTGTTACACCAATGTCCCAGGTTATAGGGAAGTTCATGTTCATTTTTCAAACATTCTTAACCGATCACAAGTGTTAATTTCTCGATGTACGTGAACTTGAAAATTAAGTTATATTACTCGATGATGGAGCAATTTCATTGCGAATAGTAATGAAATTCTACTCCGTAACAAAGTTTTTTTTGTATGTGTATACGGGTAGTCAAGATTTAGGGGTCGCCGTTACGTTCCAAAATCACAGTAAAATAATACATTATGTATATTAGCATGACTTGAAGATGACAAAGTCACAAATAACAATATGAATAATTTAATGTATTATATATACTAACAGTATAAAATACATATAATCAATATCGGTAACAATGATATATTTCAAAACAAGTAATATGTTTATTTAAATATTACTTTTTAGACGGTATGTAACTGATGTAAAATTCGGACAAAATAACTAAATTTTCTTGACAATTTTCCTAAAATGTACTCAGAATTAGCAGATATAAAAAATGATGATAACACGTTGTAAGTTTTAACATGGTAAAAATACATTGAATCAACACTTATATGGAATAAACAAATAGTGAAAATAGAAACAGTATGTTATTTACAATGTAAAATTTGGACAGTAAATAAATATGTTAAAACTATGGTCATCATAGGTAAACACGTGTAAATGACAGAATTGTTCACTTTTACCTGAAAAATATATGCTATGTTTTTTTTCAGTCAATTAAATTTATTTCGAGTCCTTCACCATAAAAAATGTCTGCTGGTGTTAAGCTGGTTCTCGGCTGACTACTACACTTTGTTCATTGAGCATACTACTAGAGTAAATGCAAGTGGATTTCAGTTTATATTGGTGTTAGTTTCCTATCTGGAACAAAACTTCCGATGCTGGCGACTGATGGTTCCCTGCTCAGATATTGAGGTGGATTGTCATAACAAGTCCTAGACTGGAAATTTACATATGAAGGGTCACGTTTATATAACGGTGGACTGTTGCCAGTGTTGATGGTTTTTCCTGAAAATGTTATTCCAGTGCTGTAAAATTTAAATCAATCTTTTGAATGTCTATTGAAGTAATATTAAAATCAAAAACGAAAAAAAAAACAATAGAATGCTGACTGCTAGACGACATTGTGTACATTAATTCAAAAAGAATCTCATTCTATCATCTAAATAATAGGTAGAATACGATAGAAATCAAAACAAATAAATTTAAAAAACAAATCTGAACAGCAGCTTTTTGTCAGTTGTGAAAAACATTACTTCGTATCCGAGAGTACATGGTAGTTGTCCTCTTCAACAAAACAAATGTTCACATTCCTATGTAAACAGAAGTATTAAAAACAACAGCTGAATTATAAAAGGTCAATTCTAAAACAACATACCCGTTTATCTCTGATCTCTTACTTTTACGACAAAACACTACCAATAAAATGGACAGAATTACAATGACTGCAGATAGTACAACAATAAGTGCTATAATTGCATGGTCTGTAGTTTGTTCTTTCTTTTCATTTTCTGAATTTTCTGTAAATATATTACAAATTAACGACTACTAATAAATAATTATTAGGTATTTTAAAAATCGTTTGCATCTGTTCATTAGTTGGGTTGTTAATCTTTTTATTTAAACATATTTTATTTGATGACATTACAAACATAAATATGATTGCAGGCAGTTAGTACGCAAAGGGATTCGAAAACATTTATATTATATTCATACAGAAACTTTAATTTTTCAATATGTAAAATGAAAAAGGAAAATATAAAATAGTCGAACTAATTGCACGATACATATTGTCGGATCTTATCTATATCACCAACGGATGTATGAAGTATACTGCAGCTATTACTTAAGGACGAGAAGCTGCAAGTATATATTGATGCCTACCTATCATCGGTATTGTTAAAAATTGCAAAATCACTGTCTCTGTATTCCAACATTTCAAAGTTCTCTGGATACAATAGATTGAAAAGGAGTTTTTAAGACCATTAGAATATATGAATGTGTGTTAACAATATAAAAATAAACAGGTTCAATGAAGATCATATTCACTCATGCCTACTCGATCCAATATAAAAGTTACCTTTTGGGGGTTCAGATTCATCATCTCCTTTTTCTGCACACATCTCTAAAGTACCTTTATTAAAAAAAAAGCAATCACATATAATTACCCTTTTTTGGATCTTCTAATTATATAAAGCTGTTATATCTTATTTAATGAAAATAACATTAAAAATAATTTCGAGCGTCCGAGGCACCTTTCTGGATTGCTATTCATCAGGAACGCTAATTACCCCAAAAAAATAGAATATTTGTATTTGCTGAATACATATGAAACATATCTTGATATTGAAATTAATCTATTCTAAATCCTATAGTTAACAGATAAAATTCTAACAGGCCCCAACATCAAGGTGTAGTGTTATTCTGATTTTAAAATTCTTTAAGAAATGCAGGTTAGATTTTCTAGAACTAACAAGGACTAAATATGTCTTTACCAAGAAAATGTGTTGATGCATAGATTAAATTTATACTATGTAGCTATTGCTTATATTTTTTTTTAAAGCAGAGTATCTTTTTTGTTGAATATGAACGAGTTCATTCTTTAAAATAATATAAACTAAGTATTTTAAGCAATTGATAGAATTGTTATATATAATCATATACAGAAACAGCACGTGATTTCGACAATTGTCTAGTTATTCTTATTGAAAAATCTCACTGCTAAGAAAAAACATATCAATTTCTATAAGAATCCTCCAAATCAACCCAGCGGTTCAACAAGCTTACCGAAGCAGTAACCTGATAATGACGTCGTACTCGTCGTCAAATTGTATACAAAATAGTCTCCATCGCACAGCTTTATGTCTACATCCCACGAATATAAGCATTCATGAGTAAAACTTTGCATGCACATTGTCTGTCGTATCTGTTCTCCTTTAGCTGTAGGTAGTTGTCCTAAAAGATACATTTATCATTCATTTCTTATACTATAATGATAACATGCATGTTATAAAAATCCATGAAAATAGGGTTATATGTTTATATGTAATGGGCTATCATATGAATCTTGGCCAATAAATTAATAAAAAGTAGAAGCTCTAAAGAGCCTGTGTCGTTCACATAGTATCACATCAGGTATATGTGCATTTTTAACATTGTAGACTACAGTTTCTCTCTATCTTATTTTGTTTTTGCCCAAAACACAAAAGAGGGTAAACAAAATTGCCATTTAAGGGCAATCACTCCTATCTAATAACTTTAACGGCAGAATTTGACCTGATTGTAGATCTTGTCTTGCTGATCAATTTTGTTATATAAGTATCTATCTATCTTTTTTAGTTTTCAAGATAATAGGCAAAAACACCAAAAATTGGTAAAAATCGTCATTATAGAGTAATTACTTCATTAACCAGACAACTGAAGAATTCGGCCATAAGACATTTTTGTAAATCTTGTCTTGCTGATCACTTTTGGTGTTAAAGGTTTCTATCTATCTATTGTAACTTTTAAGATTAAAGGCAAACGCGCAAATAAAATGGTAAAAATCGTTGTTAAAGGGCAATAACTCTATTAAGAAGTCGACTGACGATTTCCGCTATTTGACTTATTTAAAGATCTTGTCTTGCTGATCAATTTTGCTGATGAAAGTGTCTCTCTATCTATTATTGTTTTCAAGATAATAGGCAAAAATGGAAAAAAGTAGTAAAATTCGTCATTTTAAGTCAATAACTCCCATAAGAAGTCATCTGACAGTTTTGACGTGTATAGACAATAGGTAGAGCTCAACATTTCTGTCCCTCTTTTCATAGCGGTTTTCAAAATAATAGACAAAACCTACATTTTACCCCTATGTTCTATTTTTCTATGTTCTATTTTTAGCCATGTCAGCTTGGTTGACAGGCGGGGTCATCGGACATATTTTTTAAACTAGATACCCCAATGGTGATTGTGGCCAAATTTGGTTAAATTTGGCTCAGTAGTTTCAGAGGAGAAGATCTTTGTAAAAGTTAACGGACGACGACAGACTATGGACGCCAAGTGGTGAGAAAAGCTCACCTGGCCCTTTGGGTCAGGTGTGCTAAAAAATGAATATCACACTATATAAATTGTATGCGTCCGAAGCGCTTTTCTGGATTTACCTTCATCGGGAAAGAGCCAAGGATGCATAAGAACCGAAACAGTTGGAGAGCTTTTTGACCAAAAAATACTTAGATATAATAGCCAATTCCATCTAAGGTCAACTTTACTTGAGGGTGTTTCAACCTTAGTTTCTCAATAAGTTGTGCATTTTATTATTCGTCAGATTTCGCCATTGGAACAAAATTGACTAAAAATAAGATTTTACTGTCATAATAACAAAGATTTACAGATAAGTGTTACAGACTACGTGAAGTGAACGCAACGCTCAATTACCCCCCCCCCCCCCCCCCCCCCCTCGTTTCATTCTATTTTTTATATTCATTTATTTATTTATTTATTTGTCTAAGAGCTTCAGAATAATTTTGTAGAGATAAAGCTTACTGTAAGTGATTTTCTTCGTTTATATGGTCAAACATTCAAATATTGTTATGGCGCAACTAAAGAAATTGAACCAAATTAGATGAGAATATTACCGTTTAACCAAATTGGATACCATGTTCCACAATGAAATGGTCCTGGTGCTGATGTAGGCATTTTCTCACATGTACTTTTTTCAACTCGGTACCACCCATTGTCAAGAAAATCATCACTGATTGCTGTTTCTTCTCCAAAGTTCAAAATTCTCGTAGCAGCTCGTCTGTCTGGATACTGTACTAGGTTGAAGTCATTACAAGGATCAACAGTGCCTTTTTACAATTTTTAAAAAGAATCTGAATTAAACATTTTTTCAAACCTCTACATTATTGAAGTTTACCAGAGACATGTATTTAGGGTACGATATATGTCTATGAGTTTATGTATACTTTCAATTTTATATAAATGGAAATTTCTCATCCTTTTCAGAAATACAAACTGCATTAAAACTAAAATGTAAATGAATGAATAATTTTGTTTAAAAATTTCTGTAAAAAAAGTTAAATATTAATATGTATTTAAATATACTCAAACTGTGGACGAGCGCGGAATACATGTATTATTTGTTTGAGATATATATATCTTCAAAAATGACTGTGATTAAAAATCTGATTTTTGAAGTACATATGATAGATGAAGGGTAATGGAGTAAGAATTCATTTAAAATATGTCAATTATGTCTAATATTAAAAGAATATCAAAAAGGTAAATGAAAGGTGATTGAGTGAACGATTGATAGCAAATGATCAGGTGGTATATTAATATTTCAAAACAACATAATTTAATCTGGGAAGAGTATATGCTAAAGTTTTTTTTTTCCTTTTGTATTTAAATAAATAGAACTGCTAAGGACAATTGAATGGCTGATGTAGTCACACGTTCTGTCGCTCTGTCTGTGTATGTTGGACTATGAAGAGTTCGTACTATTAAGATTACAAAATAATATGGGATATGAATTCAGGTACCACATATAATATTTAGATTTTTTAAAAGTAGGTCGTTTTTGAAGATTTATAGAACTAAAATGGACTATCAATATCAAACGGGCAACCGAACAACACAAGTGGCATGTTAAATGAAACGTAAGTATAAACTGCACTCACTTCGTTTTGATACAACTTTACTGACAACCTATTATAAGTTATATGGTTCGCTACTGACCCCCTACGGGTCCATAGAGGGTTAGTAAAATCCATAGGGGTGAGGCCGAAGTCATAAATACCTACCATTTGTTGGATTGTTGGTATGTATAACTCCTGATGTACTTGTTGTTTCAACTGTTGCTCTCGAAGCTTCTGTTCCTAAAATGTAGACATGATGTTGTATTGTTACAGTATATACATTTCTATTCAGGAAATTTTTATTGATTCATAACCCAGAGAGTAGACTGAATGATTATATGATTTTTCTGAAAAATATAATTCATTGCCAATTCAAGCCAGTTGCAATAAAGACACCAAACACTATAAAAACGGAGTTTGATATCATTATTTACCAATTGAAATATCAATTATCATATATCGATATATCGGTCAGTAAATTTGAATTTTAACTCCATTCCAATACAGCAAAAATACAGCAATGATAAAACAATGTTTTAAGTGAATTTAGTTTTTAACGTCATAAAAAATTGGAATGTATGTGTTAATATGATTACTTGAAATCCAAATGATCCTTGTGTACATTCATAGGATTATAAGTCCCACACTAATTATCGTTTCCGTCAAGAATGTTCAAATTTTATAAAAATTGTGTAGAACGGACTATGGATAGGTCTGCTGGTTTACTGTTTTCCGAAGACATTTAGAAACTTATCATCTAAATAATTAAAGGCAAACATTTTATATCTTTTAGTGATAAAAATACGTGTAAAATAAATTTATTATTTTAAAAAATAACTTGTTTTTATAACGATGTATACAGTTCTACGGGAGGCTATTTACTATTCATACTTTTGTAATACTAGTACTTACCAAAGCAATAACCTGAAGAAGAAGATATAGATGTGACAAGATTATATACCAAGTAGTTCCCTGGACAGTACTTTATGTCAATGGTCCAGCTTTCAGTACAGTTGTCGTCAAAGCTTTGCAGACACACTCTTCCAACATTTTCTTCTCCAATATTTGTTGGTAAAGATCCTAAGGCGAAAATCGTCTAATGTAAAAACATTCATATTTCAATATTGTGTACTTGTTTTTAGCCCTATTATCATTTTAAGCATCGCCTGATCACAATATATAGGTTTTTGTAGGCAAAGAAAACAATAACTAGTCAATCGATCAATAAATTATATAGAGTATACATTATTTATAATAATCTATTTTCCTCCCAATATTTTGGTTCAACTATCCATAATTACATGTATTTAAAATTTTAGCATTTTCTTTTTCCTTATTCTTTTTTTTTTTTTTGAGAGAGACTTTACCATTAAGCCATATCGGATACCACGTTCCACAATGAAAAGATCCGGGAGGTTCAGTTGGCATATCTTCTCCAGCCGCACTCTGAATTCGATACCATCCACTGTCAAGAAAATCGTCACTTATTGCATGAGCATCGCCATGGTCTAGTACATTTGCTACCGCTCTTCGATCTACATATTTCATTAAGGTGTAGTTCGAACACGCATGGAACTCTGGAGAAAAAAAACCAATCTTAATACTTTTTTGTTTAACTAAGTATGAGTATTTTTAATACTTTGTTTATATAATACTAAGTTACTAACCTGTTAAAAAAATCTTTTATTAAAGCAAATTAAATGATAATTGAAAGAAATGCTATTTAAGAAAGGGAAATAGTGCATGTTCTCTGTTTTGTTCCCCCACCATTTTGATTTGTAAAAACGTCTTAATCTTTAATACTTTATTCAAGAATTTGCTCTTGTGATGAACAAAAAAAAAAAGAAAAAGAAATTCAGATACTTCAATAAATGATACTTACCAGCATCTGAAAGAGATATGTGTATAATTGATATGGCAAAATATATTTCCTTAAACATTTTGTACGTCCGATAATCTTCGAAAGAGAAATAAATATGGTTTATGGAGTTTTCTAATTGACAAGATGATTGACTGAAAACATTTATGGAATTGGAGTTTTTCCACATTCAACAAAATACAGATCAATGCTATCTATCACTTCCTTGTTTTGGTCCATAATTACAAAAAAACCTTTATATTTAAATTAAGTGTTTAAAATTTAAATGGAAAGAAAGAAAGCAATCCTATATAAAATTAAAAGGGAATAAGTAATTGCCAGTATTTTCCGCGAAAGCGGATTTTAACTAGGTAAATGAACTATATTAAACGGGAAGTCTTCCTATACGCATTGATGGTTTTTCAATATTAGACTGACACAGTGACATTGCCATTTAATCATGACAAGTACACCAAACTTGAAATAAGTACGTCTGTACGTTTTATCTATATGTTTATCATTTAAACAACCATGTATTATTATACCCCTCCCCCTCCGTTTTCTAAAGCGGGCAGTTAAAAATGTTAAGGGAGTCTGTCCGTCTATCCGTTTGTTCGTCCTTATGTAGCACCTTTGTATCCGCAACTGCTCTTAAACCGCTCTACAGAACTGTGTCAAACTTTCACTTAATCTTAACCGACAGCTGATAAGTTAGTGGCTTAAATAAAACGTTTGATTGTTTTACTGGACACACTTCAATCAAGCACTCTCAGGGCCAAAACTTTGGGAACCCAAAATACGTGAAATGTCAGTAGACTGAGGCCTATTTGAATTGACATGCACCAAACTATAATCTATAAATACAGTAAGATGTTGTTAAAGTTTAAAATGAAGTTTTTTGTTATAAGAAACTTCATTAAGATCTGATTTGGAGACATAATAAAAACTTACATTAAGGTGTTAGTTCAGAGACAATCATGCAATTAACCCAACGAAACAAGTGTAGGTTAAGTATATACAACTTATCTCTGAGTCAGTATGATTTTTTTTTCAACTTAGTTCTTCAAACATAATGATGTAATTCATACAGATGATTTTTGTCAAAACAATTTTGATGAATTATGATTAGCACAAGGTAGGAGTCTAACAATACAAAACTTTGTAAAGGTAAAACAGCATACAATATCTCAAAACTATTTGAAATATCCAAAGCAAACACAACAATTGATAGTTTGATTACATTGTTTTCTTTGAAAAAGTAATCATACGAATCATTGCAAAGCAAATCTGTCCAGAATTCAATGGTTCATTGAAGTACGAATAGAGAATAACAAATCAACTATACTTCAACGTATATTCTAAAAATAATATTAAAATTCGGATTTTCTGGCTTTGTTTGGAAAACATTCCTTAAAATAAATAAAGCAATTATCGGTAAGGTAAAAACCAAATGAGAGTTGTATTCGAATTGTCAAAAAGCAAAAACAACATATACAGTTTAGTTCATTTCTGAAAATTTTACGAAAAGATTCACCATTGTTAAAAAAATATGTAACATTTGTGTTTCAGATGACCACATTCGATTTTTTTTCGGTTATGTTGTTTACCGAGCTCGGAAATATAGATACGATCCGGGTAAACTTTTCAATCCTTGAAGTAAACTTATTCTAAAAGGTTACTAATTCAACACTGTAATTAGATCTTTGAATATTGTTTTGATTGATATAAATTTGGATTATGTTATCATAAAATCAAAATTATACTAACTATTATTGCTATACACATATGCCCATTCACAGTTCTACAATCTGTCGATACCTCTATTTTGGCATTTCTCTGACTGTTAATGGTGTCTTTACACTAAATCCATTGGATGTTGGATGTGTACTGATTTATATTTTAGTCTTAGATACATGATTTTTTATTAGTTGTTACTGGCCTTGAACTAGCTGTCAGTAAATCCCAGTGCTCTCAGATCTGTTCTTAGTGTATATTTTTTTGTGAGGGATGTATAAATTTCCTGCCACGTCCGGTCTGTGTCTTTGTTGGATGTGTTTTATGCTTTGTATCGATCTAATGAGTAATGCCCTTTTCAACTGATTTTGATAGTTTGTTCTTATGTTGTACTGTTACATCACTGTCCCAGGTAAGGGGAGGGTTTTAAGCCAGCAAACATTTTTAACCCAACCATATTCTATATGTGCCTGTCCCAAGTCAGGAGTCTGTAGTTCAGTGGTTGTCGTTGGTTCAAGTCTCTCATATTTATTTTTCGTAAATTGTTTTGTTATAAATTAGGCCGTACGTTTTCTCTATTGAATTGTTTCATGTTTAAATTTTACATGTCGGGGCCTTTTATAGCCGACTATACGGTATGGGTTGATCTCACTGTTGAAGGCCGTACGGTTGCCTATGCTTGCTTACATCCACTTCATTTGAATTGTCAATCATACCATATATAAGGATAAAATCTCCAGGAAAACCAACGGTTTAATCTATATAAAGAAACGAGAAACCAGAAACACCTATGAACCACACCAACAAACGACAACCACTGATTCAATTCTGGACTTCAGATATGTGTATAAAGACAACCCCGTCATTCCGACACACCTATATTACGCCATACAGTCTAATATATAAAGACAAGGGTTAATAGTTGTGTCATAAGAATGCCAACATATGTTTTAGAAAAAAGAACCACAATTTCAAATTTCCAAAACTAGAAAATTAAGCAGTTCATGAGTCGTCCTGAATATGCATGGCATATTTGCCACTTGATTTACTATTGTTTAAACAAGGCAGTCAGTGACTTGCTTTTGGGAAACCAAACAGGCCTTTAATACCAACCATAAAACATAAAACATGGGATGCAAAATGTCATCAGATCTGACGATCCCACGACAGTGTTGTGAAAACTAAAACATGGAATATGGGAAAACAACAATTTTTTTCTGTCAACATGCATGTTCTTTCTGAATGAAACTCTTCAATATTAAATGCTAATCCATATCATAATTTAAGAACAAAACCAATTTCTGAATATAAATTGCCAAAATGTGTGGATGACGCTTTAGTAATTTGCGTCCATCTCTCCTAAAATTGTAATAACTGTGTTTGAATACTAATATCAAAGTTTAGATATTTAGAAAAAGTCGAAATTTTGAGATTTTAAAAGTCGAAATTTCGAAATTAAAGAAGTTGAAATTTTGAGTTTTAAAAGTAAAACTTCAAGTTAAAATCAAAAGTTCGATATTTTAAAAGTTGAAATTTTGAGTTAAAAGTCGAAATTTTGAGTTTAAAGTATAAAGTCGAATTCTCAAGTTTTAAAAAGTCAAAACTTCAAGTTAAAGTAAAAATTTCGAGATTTGAACAGTTAAAATTTCGACTTTGAAAAAAGTTCAATGCCAATTTTATTTTTACTATATCTCTAATACGCTTCTGTAATTTAACGAAGCAGATTTTAGATAGTTCAATTTGTTTATAAATAATAAAAGTGGATTTATTTTACTTTTAAAACTACTATTAAAGAGAGACTGTAATATTTCATGCACATAAAAGTACAATAATTGCTCTGTTGTAAGTTTAAAGTCCTCATTTGAATATATTTAGTCTTTATAATACTATTTAGAAAAATCAAATTTTGTAAGCATGAATAAATTCTTTGATATCATACATGTATAGGTATATTTACCCCATACGGTTATTATTATTTGATCATTGATTAAAAATTGTTGGTTTTTCCACAAATTAAAAGAAGCAAATGTCTGTTTCCCCAATAATGACGTTTAAAAGAATATACAACTTTTTGGAATTAGAATGACTGCATGGAATTTCAAATTATTCAAATGACCTTCAGTCATTTAGTGGCACATTTATTGGACATGAACTTCTGCATTTTACTTTTGACAAAAATCTAGCTATTTCATTGGATGAAAATGACAACTAATTTTCTACAAACCACTTCACATAAGGTCATGTATACTCATGTATAGGAGTAACTGGGGTCATTTTGGTATACATTTACCATCCTTGGTACAAAATAGTGCAAAGTAAATATATTTTCTAAATATACATATTCATTAATGCAAAGTTATTCATTTTCGTATTTCGTTTTTTGTGATGACTTTGTTGGTCTCTATTTGACTAATGATTTTGATTCTTCCTTCGGCATCTTCCACCTTTTATTTTGCGAAACATAATATGGATGCTAGCTAGACTGTTTCGACCTTTTTTCCAAATCCAATGTGTGTACTTTCTCCAATGCTAAATATTTGCCAAATAATTGTGAAAATGGAAAAACTAGCTTAAAATTTAAATCTCAGAGTATAAAATTGCAGAAATGGTGAACTACAGTAATAACGTATAGAATAATGGAAACTAGTAACAATTGATCTGTATGACAGGTGGTATTCTTTCTTTCATTTGAAACTAAATCGCCAATACCAAAGTAAAACAACAGGACGATCAACTTCACAGACTAAACAGATACATGTACTTGTATATCACTGTTTTTTGTGTGAATTGGATTGAAATACAAGGATTAATTTATATCAAAATAGCTTTATTTCACAAAATTCGAAAAATTAAATGAACTTATTCTTTTTATCGAAATATGTCAGCCATGAGTTAAATATCGGCCTTGTTATTTGTGTAAGTAATGATAGTATATCTGAATGATTACCGGGAATTCATTAATCATTAGATTTTATATTCAGTTTGTTATAATCATTTACTAGTAATCAATGTTTTTCTAGCTTTCCTGTAAAATTAATGTGTTGTACTAAGAAGCTTATATTTAATTAATAAAACGGTTGACACAAATGCATGCATCAGTGATTTTGTCCCTTGACTTGGTCCAGCTCCCTAATACTCCACTAGTTAACCTCTTGAATTGGTGTTTAACTTTGAAGACACTTTCAGCACTATTGCGATATTTCGTGGCGGTCAGTTTTTATTGGTGCAGGAAGCCGGGGTGCCAGGAGAGAACCACCGACCTTCGATAGGAAAACTGACAGTCCTAGTCAATTAAGATTGGAGTCGAGCGCACTTGCCACGTGTGGGATTCGAACTCACAACCTTAGTGTTGACAGGCTAGTGATACAGTTGTTGGACTACTTAGACCATTCGGCCACCGAGGCTCAACTACCCTAAGGGAAGATAACCTACGCATATATATATAAATAAATATCATAGATT